TAAAAGAGATAAGACGACTAGGTGCGCTGACAGACGAACCCTTCCACTCCAATCCAGGCAACTCTGGAATCGCCAAGGTAACAGTCTTGGAATGGCAATCAAGGATAGCATGATATAGAGACAACCAATCCATGCCCAGGATGACCTCAAAGTCGGTCATATCAAGCAACAGAAGATCTGCTCTAGTCTCATAACCACAGAAAGTCATGTTACAAGAGCAATAGATCCGATCCACAACAACAGAATCGCCCACTGGTGTGGACACATATACAGGAGTACCCAAGGACACGCGAGGAACACCCAAGAAATGAGCAAACAAAGATGACACATATGAATACGTAGACCCTGGATCAAATAGTACCAAAGTATCCCTACCGCAGACAAAAATAATACCTGTGATCACGGCATCTGAGACCACTAGATCTAGCCAGGCTGGGAAAGCATATAACCTAGCTGGAGCGCCGACTGGCTGGCCTCCACCTGACTGGCCTGTACCTGATGGCCTCCACCCCTAGGACAGCCCCTACCCACCTGCCCTCCGCCTCTGGACGGCTGGTGCGGCAACTGGTGCTATAATCATAGGCTGATAACCCTGTTGTACTGCCTTGCCCCGAAGCCTGGGGCAGAACCTCCTTATGTGACCAAGATCCCTGCACTCAAAACAACCTCTCAAAACAGCGGACTGCTGACCTAAAGTCTGACCCTGAAGGCCTGAATACCCACTAGAGGAACCCTAAATAGCTGGTGGACGATAGGAGCTCTCTAGAATGACACTGAAATAGGGTCGCACTGGAGCACCCCAAGGAGGCGGCGATGCTGGATATGTAGGCCTGCTAGATTGACCCCTTACGAACTGACCTCTGCCCCAAGACGGAGCATCACTGAACCCTCCAGAATAACGGAACTGCTTGTCCTACGACATCTGCTCTCGGCTCCGCTGACGAACACCCTCGATCCTCCGAGCTATCTCCATAACCAGCTCGTAAGAAGTCCCCATCTCAACCTCTCAGTTCATAGTGGCCTGGATACCTGAATGTAATCCCGCAACAAACCTCTGCACTCTCTCTGCATCGGTGGCGAGTTTCATAAGTGCATGGCAATACAACCCAGAAAATCTCGCCTCATAGTCGGGCACTGACATCTGGCCCTACTGGAGCTGCTCAAACACAAATCGCAACTCTTCCCTCTGAGAGGGTAGAATATACCTCTTCAGAAAGATGCGTGTGAACTGGTCCCAAGACAAGGGAGGAGAACCTGCTGGTCTGCCAAGAGATAGGACTACCACCATCTACGGGCCCTACCCTCTAGCTGAAAGGTGGTAAAGTCCACTCCGTGAGACTCTAATATCCTCATATTGTGTAGTATGTCCCTGCATCGATCAATAAAGTCCTGGGGGTCCTCATGCCGCTCACCTCCAAATACGGGAGGATGTAGCCTGGTCCATCTATCCAATAGATTCTGCGGTTAGGCCCCAACAGGTTGAGCATCACATTCGCGATGGTTTTCTCGTGTTCGCGTAGGAGGGTCAGCAGCTGGGCGGAGTATTTTGCCTTCGCGATTGCGGTGTAGGTCCCGCGATCGCCATGTGTACACCTGGGCAAAACTTTTTTGTGCTCTATTTCGAGGGTTTTGGTTATTTAATCACATTTTGAGTTATAGAGCTCGGAATTTGGACCATTTTGGAGGGGATTTTTATGATTTGGATCGGGGTAAGCACTTTTTACTTGGATTTTTTTATTATTCATGATTTCAACCTTGATTTTAGCGATTAATTGATGAATCTAAGTGAAGAAATTATGAATTTTAGTAAAAACTTTTCTAAAGTAAAATGTGATGATTTGAAGGTCGATTTGAGGTCGAATTTGGATGAATCACATATATTTTGACTCGTATTAGAATGAAGTATTCAGAATTTGTGTGTTTTATCCGGTTCTAGGGTGCGAGCTCGGGGTTGACTTTACATAATTGTATCAAGATCTTGGCTTTGTCGTTGGGCTTGTTTCATATGGCTTTTATTGATATTATTAAGTTATTATGGCTAGAATTGAGCCGTCCGAATGTTGATCCACGCGGGAAGGGAATTTTAGGGTATTGACTTAGCTTATTTGAGGTAAGTATCTTGCCTAACTTTTTGTGGAGGAATTTTTTCCATAGGATTTGGTCTAATTTGTATTATTTGTGCTATGTGAAGCAATGTGTACATAAAGTGACGAGTGTGTACATGAGCATGTGTGTGGTAATTTACCGGATTAGACCTTAATATGCCTTGATTTGGGTTGTTTTATTATGTGAAACATATTTTATTGGTGTCCACTCCCCGTACTCTTATGTTATTGATATGATTTTTGCACATATTATTCTTGAGTCGTGGGCTATGTCTTGTTGCGACTTTGGTATTTTTATTTTTGTGACATTGTGGCACTTGGGCACGTGTTGTGCGGGTTGATTATTGTGTTGTGAATGAGATGTACATGCGGCGATATAAGGGTGGCATTCTATTGTTGATGTACATGCGGCGAGATAAGGGTGGCTATGTATACGCATGCGGTTACATAAGGGTGGCATTCCATTATTAATGTGCATGCGGCAACATAAGGTTGGCTTTTCGGGGATTGTTATGAAATATAATGGGGGTGATTCTTGTTATTGTTCATGTGTAGGCAGTGAGGGTTGATGTTATGATCAAATTCTTGTTTTCATTAAATGAGTTTCCCCTAAGTTTCTTTTTTGAGTTGTTAGTGGAATTTGATATGTTATTTCGTGCCCCGATCCTATTATTATGTTGGCAAAAGCAGATAATTCTACATTGAGTTGTTGTTAAATATTCTTCGAGGTGGTTAATATCTGATATGTTATGCTCTCCGTTGTCCGTTTTATGTTGATATCCTGCACAAGTTATTTTTGACTAGTGAGTGTCTTTACTTGAACCTCGTCACTACTCCACCGAGGTAAGTATTGATACTTATTGGGTACCGATTGTGGTGTACTCATACTATGTTTCTGCACATTTTTGTATAGATCTAGGTACCTTGGATCATGCTGTTCACTAGAGAGCCGAGCCAGAGCTGTGGAGACTTCAAGGTACACATGTGTTCCGCTCGTAGACCTCGGAGTCACCTTCGATTGTTTCTTTACTACTGTTTATTTGATCCCGAACAGTGTTGTATTTTGAGATATCTTTTGTACTCTCTATAGAGCTTATGACTTAGTATTCCCTGGTTTTAGGATGTATGACTGTTGTATTCACCTTATATCTATGTTATGGCATTTACCAGTTTTTATTTAATAGTTAAGTTATTTTACTCTATTTGATCTCATCATGTTTTAGGCTTACCTAGTATTAGAGACTAGGTGCCATCACAATTCTTAAGAATATGATTACGGCTAAGGCAAATAGCACAACATAGTAAACATAACCCTATCATGTCTCAAAAAGATAAGTAGATAACCTAGACGTGATTTATAGCATGAATAATAGTTCACGTAGTCATACAAAGTGTAGGAAACATGGTATTAAGGAAGCATGATAGCAAACAAGGCATACAATAGCCTAGAGTCTACTCATATCATGAATAACCACGGTGCATGCATATACGCTCGTCACCTCACATATGCGTTGTCACACCTCCTTTTTTCCTACACCCCCGGAAGGGTATAAGGGAGTTTTTTCCAACTTAAAGTGACAATCGAAATGGGATTGATTTATTTAAAGATTCAGAGTCGCCACTTGGAATAATTTATGGTGTCCCAAGTCACCGGTTTAAATCCCGAGTCGAGGAAAAGATTGACTCTATTTTTCAGTCCGCGAACACAGAAATCCGGGTAAGGAATTCTGTTAACCCGGGAGAAGGTGTTAGGCATTCCCGGGTTCCGTGGTTCTAGCACGGTCGCTCAACTGTCATAAATTGACATATTATCTGATTTTAGAACTCTTTCAAACCTATGTGCATTTTAACTTTAAGACCGCTTTCAATTATTTTTAAAGAAGATTTCAACGTCGTCTAAAACATGTCTTTGGACTGCGCCACATGAAATGCACCCGCGATCCGAAACACATTTTATTCAACGTTGTTGAGATTTGGATTTTGGTCACATAAAATGCACACCCGAGTTTAGGAAGGTAATTTTAAATTACGCGCTTAAAGCAACTACGCATTTTCAACTTTGTGAGGGCCATGGAAAATTCGCTAAATGGCGCGCCTCAATTTTTAAGGATAAAAACAGTAATTAAACGAGGGCCGTGCATTTGAAATTTTTATATGGCACGCACACCTCAATTCCAATTTTAAAAATAAATTCAAACTAAGTCTTGGAGGGCCATAAGTTGTTTGTGTTGTCTAATATGGCACGCCTCCAATTCATTTCAAAGAACTTAATTAATTACGGAAGAAAAGAAACCCCAGGAATTCAACATATGCTCAATGCTAAAGCCCGAACTAAATTTGTTATTATCAACCAAACAAACAAGGGAATTGGGCTAGCGAAACTCAACAGGCCCAAAATATGCTATTCTAATTTTTGCAAGTCTTTTCAAATTCAAGCCCATGAGAGGAGCCCAGGCCTCAATGAAATCACGCCTACGCTGGGCTCGCAGATCGAACTCGCGCAGGCACAGCCAGCATTGAATTAATGCCAATTTTCAACAACACATATTTTATGCATAAATGAATTACAATTCAAGATAAGCTGCAATTAAAACCTGTATTAATCAGTATTAACACACTATATGTATTAACTAGGAAACTTTATCCATTATTTAACACTAACCATATTGAGAATTCAAAACCTTATGCCTGATTACAAGAAATGTCGAGGTGAACAAGGACCCATACTACTCTTTAACACATGTTAATTTTGGCATTAACAACCCACCTTACCGATGATAAAACCAGATGCATTCCACAATCAACCCAAACACTACTCAACTTAATTACTGAACCGCAGGGTTTCCAGCAACAATTTCAACGAGCAATTCATGTTATCAAACTTAAACATAAATGAAAGATGCAAGATTCAAACTATTAGCTCGACTAACAACAACACTCATTGAATTCCTATCATAACAATCCCAACACACAAGTATTTGAGAAGGAGTTCATCTAATCCAGAATTAAAATAACAAACCAAAGTTCAAGCATCTTCCTAAAATATACGGCATAAGTCATGACTGAATACAATAATGTCCAAATAATCAAGTTATTTTAGACAAGAAAACACATGATCAAATCTTTTAAAAACAGAGGCCATTTTATTCACTATCTAAATCAACTACATGGCTTCCCTTCACATCTCATATGCTACTCAAGTGCTGAAGCATACCTGGAAAATGAAAGGAAGTAAGAAATGTGAGATCAGTAGCCAAGCAGCAGCAGGGAAAGCTATGAAACAGTGCCCAGAACCAATCAAACAGTAACCAAACAGCAAAACTTAGAACAGAGCTTTCAGGACCCCCAAATTCAAACCATTTCTCAACTCAAAGTGCAGAATGTGAAGCTTTTAGAGATTTTAGCTCATGAAAAAAATCAGAAAGACCCAATTAACACAGAATTCGATCAATTTTTTTTATCAAGGAAAAGTGCTGGAAGTCAGTGCAATTTCAGAACTTTAGCCGTTTTTGGTTTTCTGGATTTTCTATCTCTTCAACTCTGCCTTGAGTGGCAAGGAAGTGTGTCTTTATAGGCAAGGAAGTAGGGCAGCGATAAAGAAATTAGATTTCCACTTCTACCCTTCTCAAATTTTCATTTTAGCTTAGAAATTCCTAGCCAATTATCAGATTTTCCTATTAATCCCCCAACCCAGCTCCTTAGAAGCTTCCCAGGCAGTTACAAAAGATTTTCCTAAGCTAGACTACCCAAATTACTCCCCCCCCCCCATGACCCTGTTATTACCACTGGACCTCAAATGGTCCATGGGTCAATGACCCAAAGGTTCAGGTCCAAATGAATGAATCAGATGAACCTAAGGCCCAAAACAAAAGGGGTCAGAAATCCAGCCAATTCAATGATAAGCAGAAAAGAGAAATATCCGAGTGATTTCAAAACTCAGAAACTGAACTAACAAGTAATGATTTTTTTTCTTTTTTTAAGCCAAAATACTAGATTGAAATTAAAATTAAACTACCAATTCAACAACAATCTACCTTAAGTCAATTATCAGCAAGTGGTCATAATTAACTGAGGAAACTAAGAACAACAAAAAACTTTGCAAAGGAGACTGAAAATCCAGTAAAACAAAGACGAACACTGAACTAATCAGATAACTAGCAATTAAGACGGAACTTCCTATCAACTTCCTAATCAGAAAATAAAAACGGAGAAGAAAAGAAAGTGGTGGGGAGATGAAAAGCCAAAGATGAAGAGAAAAATGTAGAAAACCTACCGACTCAACTCGAAACGAATTTGAAACACTGATTTAGACGAAAAGTGATGTTACCCAGTTGTTCTTTATAAAAACAAGTGAACAATACCACTTTTGCATTTAATCAACCCTCATTCTTCAACAAGACGGGAGCAAATAGCCATTCAAGCCACGGAATCGAAGGGCAGAACAGTTTTGGTTTTTTGGGGTTCGACCTCTGATTTTAGATTCAAGATTCGACGAGATTGAGGAGGTTTCTAGGGGAGCTAGTTTAGGATTTGGGAAGATGGGGTCGTGGTGGTTTTATGGTGTTATTTTGGTGGTGAACGGAGGTGGCGCCGCTAGTGGGTGGTGGTGGGAAAAGGGGGCAGCTATTAGGGTTCATGGGGTAGTCTCTGAGGCGAGGGTGAGAGAGAGATGAGTGAGATGGGGGGGGGGGGGTAACATTTTGAGACAGTTTTATATTAAACCAATGCTCTCTTCTAGACCGTTCGATCAAAGAAGATCAACGGTCTATATCTCCTATTATTTGAAATGGGGTCGTTTAGGGTTGAGAGGTGGGGGAGCGGGTTGGAAACGGGTATGGGCCGGTTTTGGGGCGGGTTTCAGAGTGTGGGGGGGAATTCATTTGGGCTTGAAGAAATTGGCCCAAAAATACTTTTTTCTTTTATTTCCTCCTTTTTCTATTTCTTTTTCTAATTCCTTTTAAATTAAAACTAAAATAAATCAAAAATTAATTCCTAAATCAAATTGTCCTACCTCATTAAATTAATCGAACTCTAAATTATGATTACCACAACTAAATTAAATAACAAATTAAAGGGAGAATTACCAAAAATCAAAATTAAAATTAAAAAGCAAAAATAAACTATTTTTGTGATTCTTCCTTTTTTATAAAATAACTAATTTGCTAATTAATCCTAAAAATGTAGAATTAAATCCTAAATGAAAATGCAACATATTTTTGTGTTTTTCATTAATTAAACAAAATTAACATGCGCAGACAAATGCAAACAATTACCGAAAAAAATGCTACAAAAATCTACAAAATTGCAGATAATGGAAAAGATTATTTTGTTTTGAATTTCTGGGAGTAATTTATATAGGGAAAAATCATGTGCTCACATGCGTCACCCAAATATATCATAGCCTAGGGGAAAACGCTTTCAAGCCAATCCTTGGCAAGATACTTACTGTCACACCACCTTTTTTACACACCTGCCCCGAAAGACACTGTATAAGGGAATTTTTCCAATTTAAGTGACATTATTCGAAATGGGATTATTTATTTATCATAGTCGCCACTTGGGATAGGTTTGGCTTTTGGTGTCCCAAGTCACCGGTTTATCTTGAATCCCAAATCGAGGAAATATTTGACTTTTCCAAGTGACGTCTGCGAACCAGAAATTCTGACTAAGGAATTCTGTTGACCTGGGGGAAGGTGTTAGGCACCCCCGGATCCCGTGGTTCTAGCACGGTCGCTTAAACTATCATAATTGGCCTAATATCTGATTTTAAACACATGTTCATCCTATAGTACATTTTAAAATGATTTACCGCTTTTAATTAATTTTAAGAAAAATTGAACGTCGTTTAAAACGTGTCTTTGGATCACGTCAGATGAAATGCACCCGGATCCGAAACACATTTTATCCAACGTTTTAGGATTTGGATTTGGGTCACATGAAATGCGCACCCGAGTTTAAGAAGGTAATATTATTAAAAGACGAGCCTAAAGCAACTAGCGTGTTGATATCTTTGCGAGAGGCCATGAAAATTCGCTAAATGGCCGTCCCGATTTCTAAGTATTTTAATGGAAGTAATTAAAGAGGGCCACACAATTTATGATTTTATTCGGCGCGGCGCACCTCAATTTTATTTTTTTAAAGGATATTTTACTAAAGCTCGAAGTCCATGAACTATTATTATCTAGCATGGTTTAACTCCTATTTTAATTAAAGGGTTAAAATAATTAACATTAAACTATTGCTCAAACTCTAATTAATTATTTATGGTAAGGCTAATTGTCCCAACAAGCATGACTAGGCCCAGCAAATAGCATCTAATAAGAAAAGCAGGTTCAGGCCCACTAGATCAAGCCCAAGCTTCAACAAAGACAGTTGTCATTGCTGAAGCTTCAGGTACAAATCTACTGCTGAAGTCGGAAGGCCCACACGCTTGTGGTCTCAATTCCTATGACCAAGGCCCTCAGCATTTGGGCATGTATTTGGCCCAGCAAACATCATAAATAAATACACCTTGAAACAACGGAGGCACTCATATCTTAAATCGATTTTGATATCTGGGCCTAAAGAGGCCCCAACGGTGATTCGAACCCCAACAAACACACAGGAAAATATAGACTTAAGGAATTGTATCATCTGAATCCGATCCAATGCGCTAATAAACAGGAAATATTAGACAATTTGTAGATCAATTTCGTATTTGTCATTAGTTACCAATTTTTGCATTGAACACTGATCCTAAGATAAGCATTAGACTCATTGACCTACTGATCTCCATATAAAGCTAGATTGTACACAACATGTGATTATTGAGTTTCGAATGAAGCTACTGGATGGCTAAGTTTGAACAAGTCCCGAATTCCAGTGTATTTACACTATTTGAATTGCAAATTTTTAAACGAACATGATGGTATCATCTGAATCACAAACAGGATAATAATTTCTGATTTCAAACTAAGGGCCAACAAACCTACTCAAGCATGCATATGTGTAAATAATAAGATTGTCCTGTTTAGTTACAATACTTTCAATAGCAATTATAAAGTCTATCATCTAACATAAAATCTACTTAACAAGGCAGCATACAAAAGAGAAGATGCATAACGACACATAATGAATCATATCCTCAAATCTTCTCTTCTTGTTCTCTTCTTCAATTCAAAACATCCTTAATACATAGGGATTTTCGAGAGATGTGTACCTGATTACAGCAAATTCACAATGAAAATGAGTTAAAAATTCAAGGATAAGCAGCAACAGCAGACTGTGAAATTAACAGCAAGGAAATGGAGCAGGAATTGTTTTGAAAACCAGTAGAAGGATGTTCAAATCCCAGTATTGAACCCAGTTGAATACCAATAGTAAACTCAACCTCAAAAACTGATTTCAGACCTATATCCCAACCATTTCTACTCCTTGAAATTTAGAGAAGGATTTCAGAGCTTGACAGGATTTTTCAGCTGCGTTTGTGTATTTTTTTTTGATTTTTCTCTTTTTGAACTCTAAGATCTAAACTCTATATACTTAAAACTCTCAAGTTCTTCAGAAACCTTTGTTGATTTTT